ATATATATATGGAAATGCAAAAAAACCGCTCTTAGCTATTGGCTCATATTTAGGGAACCGGTTGAGCTGTAAAGCGCCAGCTGCCATTGCCGAGTAGAGCATGAAATCGCGCAGTTTTTAATATAAAACTACTATTTAGGAAGTTTCTAGCTTTCTGGCAACAGGCAGCTCTGCGGGTGCGTTTTTTAACCTCCACTCCCGGAAATCTGACCATAGAAACCAGCGGGCAAGTAGGCCATTAACAGTAAAACTCCGTCGCAACTCACGTACTTTTGGGTAGATTTCGGGCCGCTCCATATAGTCCAGATTCATGCTGAAATGCTGCTGAACCACCCGATTAACCGCCATCGCCGATTCGGCGAATTGGGACAGTTCCCGAGCCGAATTGTTCTTCTTAATCACCGAAGGTGTGACCAATGGGGCCGCGTCGCTGGCGCATTTGAGCCACGGATGTTGCAGCACCTGAAACCCACCACTTAGAATCGCCCCAACAACTTTCCTCAGCAGCTGCTGTTCCTCACCTGCTGGGCACTCAAACGTTTGCGCGCATTTTTGATCAGTAGATTCGCAATTAAGTCCTTCGCTTCGGCCGAAATGCTGTCCCACTCTGGGCTGGGGAAATCGTACTGCCCCTCCTGGATGCTATGGAAGAGCAGCTCCTGGCAGGTGTTGCAATTCTCGCCTCTCTCCCACCCGCAGTCCTCGCCACACTTTCCATAGAATGGCGGATAGCCCGACAGCAGAATGTACGCGATCACGCCCAACGACCACAAGTCGCATCTCTTGTCGTATGCCTGAGTGTCTGAGTCTCCGATGAACGCTTCCACGATCTGGAATTCCGCTCAGAGTTCAGCTGTTTCTGCAGCACATGCAAGTGGAAACTCACCTCAGGAGCCATGAATTCCGCACTGCCCACTGGCGTTAAGAGTTGAGGCGTGGCCAGCGGACTGGCCACGCTAGTCTGGAACCGTATGCCAGAGCCCAAGTCAAAATCGCAGATTTTCACTGGACAGAGCCGGTCTTTGTTCACACAGAGGATGTTCTCCGGCTTCAAATCTCTGTGGGCGATGCCCTTAGCGTGCATGAAAGCTAGGGCGGAGGCCACTTCGCGGATTATTTCAGCCGCTGCAGCCTCACTGAAGTACTTGTACTCCTGGATCCTTCTTAGTAGTTGTCCTCCATTGATCTGAAATCGAACATGCCAGTTTTCACAAAGGATTTTTCACAGTTTTTTGATGAACCAACGCATTAACTCCCTTGACTCTAATCGCTCCACTCCACCACAAGCACTCTGGCCATTGAAAGTCGATGGGGGTACTTGCCTTTTCAAAAACCAAATAAAATTTTTCTTCATCTTCGAAAAATTCGGTCAGCTGAATGATGTTGGGATGGCCCTGGCAATAGTGAAAGGTCTCCACTTCCCTGAAGACGCGGGCGCGGGCATGGCCGGGTACTTTTTCAATTATCTTGACGGCAAACTCTTGCTCGGTGTAAATACTGACACATGTTTGTACACTGGCATATGCACCTTCTCCCAAAATTTCCCCTGTCATCTTGTAAAGATCTGGAAGAAAATTGCTCTGTTAAAAAACCAAATTACCGGATTTTGTAACAGCAAATGAAAAATTAACGCGGGTTTCCAAATCAAAAGCCCTTAAAATCACAGCCAAAAAACCCGACATCCACATTAAATCACCCGTTTAATTCATTATTGGTTCTGAGTAATTCCGGTCTTTATTTGTCCGAAGAGAGCAATTGGCAATTGATTTTTTCCCGGCCGCGGACACCTATAGGCCCGCTGACAGAACTGGCCTATGCCTGCGCGTGGCGATTAAGGCCCACTATACCGAAAATCGTCGGTTATACGCCAAAAACTGGTTTTTAACGTAATGTAACGGTTGCAAAAATGAGACAAAAATCCGTTTTACTACTTTGTTCAAGCAACTATAAAAAGTCCGGTTTTCCAGCAACCGAACTGAGTCCAAGGAAAGTCATAGAGTTTTCTTGTAAAATCGATCACTTAATTTTTGTGCATAAAAGACTCAGTTTGTCAGTATTTCACAGTAAAACGTTAGGAAAACGCGGTTTATCTGTTTAGACAGTTTTGTTTAGGAATATTGACCTAAGAGTGAAGAAACCCCAGTTTCCAAGAGTTTTCCAAATAAATGATTATAAACTTTGGCTTTTTCAGTTCGAGGAAGTATTTTTGGAAAWAGACCCAGAAAGAATTATTAGGGTTTTGTCCATAATTCAGATATGCAAAGTTTCCAAAGCGGTTAAGGAGGCGAGTGAAAATTTCTTATAATTTTTCACAGAAGACACCTGAAGATTGCCAGTATTTGATTAATAGAAACTTTGTTAAAACTGGAATGACCTGAAAATTTAAAGGAACTTTAGAAACCTTTTGCTTTCTGGTCGTTTTTTCATAATGATCCTAATTACTTTCGGTAAAAAATTGCATACAATTATTTGGTTTTTGTGCCAAATTCGACGACGAAATGGAGTTTCTAACGTTCCCTGCAAACTGATGAATGAGGCGAATTTTCTAGCAAAAATAATGTTATAATCTTTGGCTGAAAACACCCCATTATTGTCAAAAAAGCGGAAAATAATGCTTTTTGCGTTTTCGATTAAACACTAATATTCGATAAAAAGTTTTTGGGACGCCTTTGGGGGGGGGGGGGCAAACCTGCCAAATGTTAGCTCGATATCTTAAAAAAGCATGCCAAAAACGGTATTTTTTGCTCCGTTTTATTGTAATTTTCCGCTGAGGGCAACAGACAGAAATTTTCAAAAATGAGCCTATCAAAAGCTCTAAAGTCACAGCTAAACGAAACAACATCCACATTAAATCGCCATGGATTTCTCCATTCCTCTCATTATTAGTTCTGAGTAATTCCGGTCTTTATTTGTCCGAAGAGAGCAATTGGCAATTGAATTTTTCCCGGCCGCGGACACCTATAGGCCCGTTGACAGAACTGGCCTATGCCTGCGCGTGGCGATTAAGGCCTACTATACGGGAAATCGTCGGTTATAAACCATTAAATGATTTTTAACACTTGAAAAGTATTAGCAAAAACCAAAAATTGAATGAAAATTTGGTGCGTTTTTTGGGTAGAAAACGTTAACGTCAAGGAAAAACGATTTTTCACCACAGCGCAAAAAACCTCACAAGCTTCGATCCTAAAAAAGCATGATATCTAGCACGAGTTTAACAATTAGTATTCCTAATGAGACAATCAAATACTCATCGATAGAGGAAAAGTTGGTCAAATAAACAAAAAATCGCTTGTTTTCACGCAAAATGCGACAATCTGAACTTAACGCGGATTTCAAAACCGCTCTGAGCCTTTGACTCATTCTTAGAGAACCAGTTGAGCTGAAAAGCTCCCGTTGCCATTGGCAAACAGAGCATTAAAATGCGCACTTTTTTATCAAATCATCAATTTCGAAATGTTTCTAGTACAACAGAACAGAACTGGTTGAGCTGTAAGCTCCAATGAAACACTTAAAACACAAATTGACGAAAAAAATCCAGTCAATCGCATGATTTCTGCTTGGTTTCGATACAGAATGTTTTGTGTAAACATGCGTCACTCGACCAACGTCTCACAAGCAATTGATAACCGTAACTATCCAAGATATGTGTTAAAGCCAAACAATGTCCATAAACATTGGCAATCAACCTGCATTAAAATCCGGTTAATTATAACTGGGGATTTCGGTAAATAGCCGAGTTTAAATATAAGTTTTATAATATTTAATGCCGATAAAAACAAACTGGCCCGATCCAGTATGTTTTGATTTGGGATATTTTTACCTACGAATTGCGCATTTGGTCGAAGATTGAAGAACCCTAAATAAAACATGCGAATTTCGCAATTTTATTCCCGTAACGATTATCGGCCCCGTTCAGGTCATAACAATAACAACAGCAAAGTTCTGCGTAGTTTCATGTTTTCGTTCCAAAATGTTTCAGATTTATTATCTACTTTAAATTAAGGTGTTGATATCGACCTTGACATCCGTTATCTACTTAATGTAAATAGAATTTTATTTATATCAAATTGCCCCAGTTCTGAATCGTCGTTTTTTCGGATCATTTTCAACCAGCCGAATCCAACGCCACCAAAAAAATGAAAAAATCAGCTCATCGAATTGAGAATTCAACACGTCCATTTCCCATTCTATTGGGCTCAATAAATTTTGCAAGTAGCTTTTCGACAAACGTTGCAAAAAGCATTTCCTTGTACCAATGATTAATCATCAATTAAGGCGAATTTTCAAATATTGTTCTAAAAAAGTGGTAAAGTTTAATGGCATTTTGATTAGTTCCTGAATGGCAAAGGAATTGCAAGCAAGTAAACGGTAATTATTCTGGTTTCGTCATCTGATCAGGGATTTTTTAATAGGCGCTTTTAATGAGTGCGCTTCGTCGACCGCATTGAAATTAAACTAAAAAAAAATATTTGTTTTTCTCGTTTATTGGCAAATTGGACTGTTAACAAACGCCGGAGTTCCATAATTAAAACATTGGACCAACTTTACTATTTAGGCCAGTTTGAAGTGATTTGAGAGCATGGGAAAATTTTGAAAATTGTTGACCTCTCTTGGAACTGTGCAGGCTTTGATTCAAAAAGTTTTCAGTAAAGGGCTAAAGTTTTTTACAACAGCCCGTGGAGATTTCGGAAATTTTTCAAATTACGGGCAATTTTACTTCTCTTTGGGCGCTGTGCAGGCTCAGTTTGCGAACTTCCCCATTTGGCTCTTGCCACAGATAGAGCGCTGAAAATTTTGATGGGCATAGAGCAAACTCGACTCTACATCTGCTGCGAGTCGCAATTTTTTCAGCAGCCTGAGCAAATTTTCGGAATTATGCAAAAATCTTGGTGCAGATAGAGAGTTGGGTTTTTCTCTAGACATCAAGCAAGCCTAACTCTACCTCTGGTGCGAGTTTGAAGTTTTTGCAGAGCCTCAGCGAATTTTGCGAATTATTCACTGACATTCACAAAAACCGGGCAGAAACCATAAAAAAATGACCAATTAGAAGCAAATGGAAAGTTCATATCGTACATAATTTACATATGCGTAGTAGACAGCAAATAAATAAACACATTAGTCAATAGAAAAAATTACGCAATTAATGAATAATCAATGCAGTTCTTGGTCTGCACGCCCATTCGTATGCATCAGCCTTTATTTCCTGTTATTGTCCTTTTGTTTACTCCCAGTACGATCCGGCAACATTCCAATCCAACATGTTTGGCTGAATACCGAATGCGCAGATTTTGTGCGAAAAAAACCGTACTTTTTCATTAAAAATGAAACGCCACACTCGAAATAAGCAAAAGGTGATTCGAAGGTTAAAATTCCACTAAAAAACTTGCCCGACTAAAGTTCGGTTCGTTATATTTTACTAGTTTCTGAATGGGTTATTTGTTATGCAAAATTTGATGCAAATGCAGTGAAAGGAAATATTTAACCGTTTTCTCTTTGGCCAGCCAACTCACATTAGGGACGCGCATTAAAGTATGAAAAGTGCATTCTAGTTGACTTAAAAAAAAGACGCGGCTTAACTCAGTTCATTACCTAATACAAGTCCAATTGGCTTTCAAATGGCATTATTTAATCAACGAACACAACCATCAATTGCAATGTGCAAACTGTTCAATCAGCAAATCGTATTGTTGAAACATTCAGCACAAAACTGATAAATCAGCAGATAAGCGCGATTGGTTACAGATTTTTCGGAAAAAAACGCACTTAGAAACATTCCTAAAAACTTTTTTGACGACTACCTACTGCCTAAAACTGTGGAGTTTTTCGGGCTTTTCCTACGCAACAAATTATTCTCAACGTTTCGCAGGCTTGAGTGGTTTTGCTTAAACTGCAGTACACAGTTCAGGAGGAATTTTCAAAAATGAGCCTATCAAAAGCTCTAAAAAGTCACCGGTAAACGAAACAACATCCACATTAAATCGCCCTGTATTTCTCCATTTATTTCATTATTAGTTCTGAGTAATTCCGGTCTTTATTTGTCTGAAGTGAGCAATTGGCGATTGAATATTTTCCGGCCGAGTACACATATAGGCCCGTTGACAGAACTTGTCTATGCGCGCACGTGGAAATTTGGGCCTACTATACGGGAAATCGTCGGTTATAAACCACTAAATGATTTTTAACACTTGAAAAGTATTAGCAAAAACCAGAAATTGAATGAAAATTTGGTGCGTTTTTGGGGCTGAAAACGTCAAGAAAAAACCGATTTTCACCACAGCGTAAAAAACCTCACAAGCTTCGATCCTAAAAAAGCATATCTAGCGCGAGTTTAACAATTAGTATTCCTAATGAGACAATCAAATACTCATCGATAGAGGAAAAGTTGGTCAAATAAACAAAAAATCACGACACAGTTTGGACAGCTAGAAACATTTCGCAATGCATTTTCTGTGTCTTGCCCGAACACTTAATTATTCGAACCGGTAATAAATGTCCTGTTATCAAAGCAACCAAATTGGTAATTTTATAGGCATTTTTCGCATTTTTCCGGTGAACAATTGGTGAAATAACCGTCCAAACCCACAATAGTAATAATACTAGCGCGCAGTTATTGATATTTAAACTGGTAAACAGTGTAGCCTTGGATTGTCTCATTTCTGAAGAATTAATTTGAATCTGAATGATCGCGCTACCGGTCAGTGGCATACCGCTGTATTTTATTAGCCGAGAAAAATCGCTATTTAATTATTTATAGAAATTCATAAAATAGAACGGCTTTAGTTGCCCACTCATGTTACAAACTGGACAAGTGAACAATGCCCAGCTAAATAGGAGAATAATGGCGTCAACGTTCACTCTAGTGGGTTTTAGACTGGTAAACGTTTCGCTCGCAGTTGAAGCACCCGCAATCAAAGACCGCTGAAAATCCTTAGACCACGGGCTATTAAAAACGGAAATCAGTTTTATTCATGTATAACCCTGCTAACCTTTCACGCATTATCCTATGTATTCTAGCCACGCATTAGAGGCGCACCTTTATTATTATATGTACATTACATATTGTTGGGGCCAGCCTTTATTTAAGGCGATTGATTAGAGACTTTTTCACTCAACTTTCCAAGCTGATACTCGACAGGACCACGTGCGCAAGGAATCAGTACGAAAGTGTTTTTTATCAGTTGGCAAATAATCGGCTAAGTCGTACATGCATTACATGTGTGGGACGGATGGCTAATTAACGAAGATAAGTGCAAAATTAGGGAAAAAAAGTCTGCCAACTGGATTGCTAGGTAAATGATGGATCGATCAGTTTCCATGATTTGACCCAGAACTGAGAACAATGATGAAAATCCCATTACGCAACCAGTTGATTTTTGATGGCAATCAAGCCGAAATTCTACCACGCAGCTTTGGCGCAGTAAATCGGATATTCGCATTTGCGAATCATCCATCCAAGGCCAAGTGGTTTCGAATTAAGGTATATACGCACAATTATTGCTGATATCGCGAAAAATTCCAAACCGATCGGTATTCCAGGCATTTATCAACGATAAAGTCGTGAACGCAAACAGTCTGGTTGGGCGAAAAAGTGTACTGATGGCGTCCACTGAGCGACATCAATTAATATTCTTTAGCAAACTGTAAACAACGTGAAATGACCTTTTTCTGGCGCACCAAAATATATTGTTAACCAGCCGAAACCCGGAAAAGTGCACGTACGCCTGTTTACCCGTTTTCTTTCGATTTATTTTTATCTCAAGAACACAGCGATTCCTTCACACATCGATTGACATTCAGCCAAACATAGACCTCCTAGGCCAATCGCATCAAGTCATTGTTTAGAGCTCCAGTAAAAAGAGCCAAATTTTCCGTTAATATTTCCAAAATTCGAAAATTCTACCGGTCCTGGTTTGGATTTTACGCTTTCTTGAAGCGTCGCTTGCAGATTAGCGGTTATTCACTTTGAAGTCAAAGTTTAAGTGGTGGTTTTTAAAATGATAATTTTTTCTTATTTAATGAAAATTTGCTCCATCGTTTTGGTGATTCTTCCTTTTTACAGTGCAAAAGTTTCAAAGTTGAACGGGTTCTGGTTTCGAGTGGAAGAATTTTTGAAGCGCCGCTTCCAGTTTGGCGACTATTCACTTTATCCACTTAAGTTTTTTTTGTTAATTTCAGTTTTTTCGTATTTAATGAAAATTTGCTCCATCGTTTTGGTGATCCTTTTTTTTGACAGCGCAAAAGTTTCAAAGTTGTACTCGTTCTGGTTCGAGTGGAAGAATTGTTGAAGCACTCACAAATAGCTTTTTGCGAAAACCTCCGTTAACTCTACGTCTACACTCCCTTAAACCCCTCCAGAGGAATGGCGTAGCTTCAAATCAAGCAAACTCAACCGCTTGGAAGCAAAAACAATCTGGACACCCCAAAACCCTCAATTGACGAAAGAAAATACTCCAATTTACCTTGAAAGCAAGACGATACGAGAGACGAGCCGGTGCGCTTCTTCTTGCGGCGCTTCCTCTTAGCCTCCTCCTTATGGCGAGCGATTTCTCTGGCTCTGGCTTGAGGGTCCAGAGGCTCACCTTGATCTCCGCTGTCGGAAGCGCTGCCATTTCCGCCGCTGCTTCCGCTGCATCCAACAATGCTGCTGTTTGAGGTGTTGTTCAATTGCAGTCCGCTGTCTGTGGACAAGAAACCATTTTAAACCATTATTTATATATATAAAAAAACATTTTAAACCATTATTTATATATAAATAATTATTTCGAGAGTGCAGATTCACTCACCAAAGAAAATCACCATGTGGCAAATGAGATGGAAAACAAGCAACATGAACTATACTATCAATAGGGGACTTTCCTGGAGGAAAGGCCGGCTGAATTCGTTAGGGCATAATGGTAATTTTTGTTCCTACTTTAGTTAAATGATTCATTTGACGCGTGGAAATACGCTACTGGTGATTGATTGATGGTTGCTTGGGTGAAAAATTGTCAATCATGTGGGCTGGTTTGCACCAGCAGCCCACTCAACATGTGGATTTTTTAGAGGTGATTGGGGATTGAGACAAACACGGAAATTTCGCTCTTATTGCCATTCAATTCCGGTCCGTTCGAAGTGAAAATGCGTCCAACGTGGGCGAGTTATGTGGAACTGGCGGCGGAGTAGAAACCTGTTTGGACGTGATTATTCTGACTGATACAAAGGAACCCAAAAAATGGGCACCATGATGCAGTCAGGCAGTTGGCGTTCACGATTCTTTTTCTTATTATTCTATATTATTTCTTATTATTCTATATTCTTAGTCACTGAAAACCGATGGGCGAGTTGAATATGGGTCAGTGTATTAGAAATACATGCGTTATCAAACACACTTTTTGTCAGCTAAACCGCTGAACAATCGCGACACAAACATGTAAAGTAAAAACTTGTCGTTGGAAACTCCAAGTGCGATTAATGGAATAAGGATGGATTAGTTGAGAATCAAATGCGTCTGCCTTTGAAATAATTTTCATTGACTTGCCCGATAATTGTTGATTCACTCTAATCGTGCTGATAAAGCCATGCTCAATGTTTAGTGTTCATACACATTTTTTCGCATTGGACAATGATTGTTGCTCATGCCATAAAACCACACACAACACATTGAATAGCAGTAAATGATCGGTTTTTATCAGCGAATTTTGCAATTTATTGATGGAAGAATACTGTGAACGCCCTGAAAGACGCGCTGAAACTTTATGAATTAATAAAAAAAAATAGAATTTTCACCAATTTCCGAGCTTAGGGAATCTGAAGCGTTGCTTGTAGATTGGCGGTTTTGCACTTGTTAAGCCCAAGTTTAATTTTTGTCTTTTTATATTTTAATTCAAATTTGCCCTCTTTTTAACCATCTTTCTTCACAGTGCAAAAATTCCACAGTTGTACTCGCTTCGGTTGGAGTGTAGGATTTTTTTAAGCGTCGCGTACAGTTTTGTAATTTTTTACTTTTTAATCCTAGGTTCAAGTTTATGTTTTTAAATTAGGCGATTATTGGATTTTATTAAAATTTTCGTTCTTTATTTAGCCATTGTTCCTCTTCATATTGTCAACATTTCAAAGCTCTATTGAACCTGGTTTAGAGTGTGCGAATTTCTGCGTTTGGCGGTTGTTCACTTTTTAAGCCTAAGTTTAAGGATTTAGGTTTAAATTGGCCGATTTTTGGAATAAATTGAAAGTTTTGTCGCCTTTTTAGGCATCTTTCCTCTTTATAGTGTCAACATTTCAAAGCTCTATTGCATCTGGTTTAGAGTGTATGAATTTTTGGAGCGTTTCTTGCAGATGGGCGGTTGTTCACTCTTTCAAGTCCAGTTTTAAGTGCTTAATTTTTTTATTTGGCGATTGTTGGACGAAGTTTAATTTTGCGTTATCCATTTGGCCATCCGCGCTCTTTACAGTGTAAAAATTTGAAAGTTCCATTAGCTCTGGTCTGGGGTTGACGAATTTTCGAAGCGTCGCTTGCATATTGGCGGTTGTTCACTTTTTAAGCCTAAGTTTAAGTGCTTAGGTTTAAATTGGCCGATTTTTTGATTAAATTGAAAGTTTTGTCGCCTTTTTAGCCATCTTTCCTCTCTAAAGTGTCAACATTTCAAAGCTCTGTTGAACCTGGCTTAAAATGTGTGAATTTTTGAAGCGTTTCTTGCAGATGGACGGTTGTTCACTTTTTAAGTCCAGTTTAAGTGCTTAATTTTTTAATTTGGCGATTGTTGGACAAAGTGTCATTTTGCGTCATCCATTAGCCATCCGCACTCTTTACAGTGTAAAAATTTGAAAGTTCCATTAGCTCTGGTCTGGAGTTGACGAATTTTCGAAGCGTCGCTTGCATATTGGCGGTTGTTCACTTTTTAAGCCTAAGTTTAAGTGCTTAGGTTTAAATTAGCCGACTTTTGGATTAAATTGAAAGTTTTGTCGCCTTTTTAGCTATCTTTCCTCTTTAAAGTGTCAACATTTCAAAGCTCTGTTGAACCTGGTTTAGAGTGTGTGAATTTTTAAAGCGTGTCTTGCAGATGGGCGGTTGTTCACTTTTTAAGTCCAGTTTAAGTGCTTAATTTTTTTATTGGCGATTGTTGGACAAAGTTTAATTTTGCGTCATCCATTTAGCCATCCGCGCTCTTTACAGTGTAAAAATTTGAAAGTTCCATTAACTCTGGTCTGGGGTTGACAAATTTTCGAAGCGTCGCTTGCATATTGGCGGTTGTTCACTTTTTAAGCCTAAGTTTAAGTGCTTAGGTTTAATTTGGCCGATTTTTGGATTAAATTGAAAGTTTTGTCGTCTTTTTAGCCATCTTTCCTCTTTAAAGTGTCAACATTTCAAAGCTCTGTTGAACCTGGCTTAAAATGTGTGAATTTTTGAAGCGTTTCTTGCAGATGGACGGTTGTTCACTTTTTAA